GGGGGAGATGGTAGGGCTGCAACTCTAGAGGGCCCTCAAACAGATTGTCTGGACCCTTTTCTGCAGGCTTTAGATGAGAATGCCTGAGATGGCATTGATCACACTTATAGAAGATCTCTGACAGGACAGGACAGGACAGGACAGGACAGGACAGGACAGGACAGGGTTGATGTGACTCAGCTAGTCTTGCTTGATCTCTCTGAAATTTTCAATATAATGGATCACATATTTCTGGACCACCTTTGGGGTTGGGGATAGACAGCATTATTCTACAGCAATGGTTCTCCTCTTTTCTCTGAGGTGGTTCCAGTTGGTGTTGGTACTGGTGGAGAGATCAAACACATAAGGCTGGCTTTTGATTTAAAGGGCCAGCTGCTCCCCACTACACTCTACATAAGACTGCCCCTAAAGACCCCTTGGAAGCTACTGCTGGTGTGGAATGCATCAGTGCAAGTAGTTATGGGAGTATGTCATTTCATCCATATAGCATCACTACTTCACAAGCTGTGCTGGTTGCCAGGTGGCTTCTGGATGCAATTCAAGCTCTTCATGGCTTTCTGGATACCTACAGGCTGCACCTCTCTGGGTTTTTTCCCCCCCTGCCTTTCTGATAAGTTCTGGCAGGGTTGCTTTGCTCCAGATCCTATTGGTAAAGCAAAGCAATCTTGCAGGACCTTGGAGGCAGGCCTTTCCATACCCAGATTTGCCCCTGGAAGTCCATATGGCCCTGACCCTGTCATGCTTTCAGAAAACCTTTAAGAACTGTAAGACCTGGCTTTTCAAGTAGGCCCTGGGGCTAGGTGGTTTGGAATCTGGTTAGCCAATGTATGTTCTGTATTGTTTTGTAAAGGGTTCTGTTTTCCACAACATGGGATGTGAAGTCATCTCATTGTTATTATTTCCTTCTTTTTTGTTTTTGTTCCAATTTGATTATTTCTATTTTGTAAGTCACCTAGAGTTGTGATTGTGATCGAGGTGGCCTTTGATTAAATAAATTGTTGATGGATGTGTGTATGTGTGTTCATATGAATGGAGATAATGGAATGGAGATCCTGAACATTAGATTAATATTTCCTAAGAAGTTATGTCTAAGATAAACATTCATGTCTTATGTTATTGTAGCTATTGTTAAATACCTTTTTGGTCTTGTCATTTATGTTTAGTATATGATGTAATGTAAATCATGTAATGTAATGATTAGCTTAGAGAAAATTAAAAACAATAATAAAAATTAAGTTCTGAGACTAAGCACAATCATGGCCTTTGATCAATCTTATACATCAATTACATCTTTGTATCCAAATAGTTTTATGTGTACTTTATACATTCCACAATATTATTTCTTGATTGTCAACTTTGAATTATTGCTCCACCTGCATATATGGTTGGATTTTTTAAATATTAGAATTAGCAATTATATTATGTTTTTTCTTTATATTTGCTTTAATGAAATATTTATATTTTATTATTTGGTTTTATTTTCTTTTGTAAGGGTCAATAGACTATGTGCAACAAAATAGTATTTATTTGTTGACTATATATTATTTATTCATAAATATTTCTGTGTTCTTGAAGTGGCTTACAATAATCCTAACGCCTTGAAATACTTCAGAATAAAAAACAGTTCAAGCAGGTTGAAGGTAGCCCCTCTATCCAGCCAACATAGTTCAGATGACCCAACAATAACAAAGAGAAAAAGTGAAGTATAATTTTGGTATAGAACAAATTAATTAAAATCATAATTTGATGCTTCTAAATTAGAAAAAGCATAGTGGCACCCAACTGGAATAGGCTTCAGCAGACAACTCATCTTAAACTAGATGTGTAAAATATCCTGATATAGTTCTACTGTTTCTAATTTGTGTATTTATTTCAAATACAGATTATCTTTGCCCATTGGGGTCCTCAAGACAAGGTACAATTTAAAATAATAGAAGACATACCAACCAATTAAACATAAACTGAAAATATATCGTGCCAGCTTTCTGCTGAATATAAATTTAATTTATTCATTCATGCACCCATTTTCTGTTCACGCAGCATTTCCAATTGAACAGTAATCAACGGAGTAGAAAATCAATAGTCTGACTCTTTTCTCTTTGGAGGTGGCTTGGTTTGGCAGATGAAGCTGATAGAAGAGGCATCTGATATTAGTGTTTTCCTTCCACATTAGAAGGGGAAATCTAAGGTACTCTTTGGTCATGGAGGACTTTCTTGAGGACTATAGGATTGAAGTCCAAGACCTGTGATAGTTCCTGAAATAACAGAAATGCAGGAAAAGCTTTATTTATGCCATTGTCCCCACCACTACCACCACCAGCACCCTGGGAAATGGCTATTGGACCACCCCTGTACAAAGAATAGGCATATCAGGTTTCTGCCCCAGGGAACTTCAGACCTACAAATGGCATAAGGTAATAGCAGAGGAGGCAAATGGATCTCTTGCTTTGGTGCTACAAAAAAAACAAGCTGGGAAACCTCATAAAATGTATTTACAAGTCTAGTGGGAAGTGAAAGAAGACACAGGTTCACACATTCTGCTGGTCTTGCTCTATTTTAATGTGGTTTATTGAACAAGTCACAGAAGTCAGAACCAACAGAAAAATGTTAGCACAAAACACACAAAAAAGGAGAAAAAGATCAAGATACTATGTAAATGATTTTCCTTAGAAAACTAAATTTGCTTCAGACTTAAATTTCTTTCTCCTCTACTGAGTTAAAATACTACCCAACCATTCTCAAGTTGGGACAAAACAGTGTGAGTGACGGCATAACATTTGATAATTTATTTTGGGAAACTGGTATATTTGATGTTTTATACTAAGTTTGGCTTAATTTGTACTGCGTTTTATGTAACGCATTATTATGTAAAAGGAGCTTGTTTATCAGATTAGCTAGTAAGTACAGGGGACAAAGATATGGAGTTACATAAATGCAGTGCATCTGGCAATTTAGATAAATGGCTGAAGACAAAAGCTGCAAAAATCTGGGAAGGTGAAGCCATTGGGAATGCCAAAGGGTAAACCAGTTAACCCTACACAGAAAAGCCATGGACTGTTATCTAGAAGTTGGACTGGTGGCATAAATTCTCTGAACCATTCCTGGAACAAGAGATTTGGCTGGAGAAAGGCTAAAGCAAGATCTAAGAGGATCAAATCAAAAGGTCTGATTCCAAGGATGGAGACTGGCAGCTTGGAGAAGATAAAAGGACTGGGCTTTGGGATGAGAGCCAGAAAGTCTCCAACATAGCTGCAATGCTGGCACATGTTCAGCCATCACATGGTTCCATACATGTTTTTACTTTTCAGCTCAGCCATTCCTTATAGGCAAAGCATAGCCACCCAGTTGAGATCTATATGTTGCTAAAGTGAATTTGGACTTTGTTAGGATAAAGGAGGAAAAAATGTAAGCACTCATGTTTTGGTTTGCAATTGGTTTAATAAGTTCTGTGAAGATGGAACTGTTTTTTAGAGTCCCCTGGTTCAGTGTTATCTTTAATTGCACTCTGCCATAAAAGCAGAGAACTTCCCAATGTTTGCTTGAACCTGCTGATGCGTAAGTGAAAGGAGAGTGTTTATAACTGATAACACTAGAGACAGGCTTGTAACCTTAGCAATATACTTAACATTTAACTAAACCAGATAAGAGCAAACCTCCAATGCTCTAAGTTTCAGACCATCTAGCAGAGATCCATCCTCTGCCCTCTGGAATAACATCCCCCCAGAGATACTATTGGCTCCCACTCTCCAAGTGCTCTGGACGTCCCTTAGGTTCTGCTTCCAGGTCTGGGGTTAGGCTGCCAGCGGAGCCCCTGACATGTTTCTTTGAACATTATTGTTGTTATCTTGACTGGGAAGTTACATTTTGTTATGTTTTTAACTGTGTTTTAATTATATATTTGATCTTTTGCAAGTCACCCAGCATCTTTTTGGAATCAGGTGGCCTTAACAAATCAAATCAAACAGATTCTGATAAGAGTGTCCTGACCCAAGGGTGAAGACTAGCATCTTATCTGGTATTTACAAGCTATGACATCCCTACCAGGGAAAAAATGAATTACAACCCCAATCCTGACACTGAGGTAAAAAAGCAGATGAAATTAGTCAACCTTATTCTCTCTGTGAACTTGTTAAGACCATCTGATCCCTATCTTGACTCCAATATGTCTGTTCCAAATCACTGCCAAATGGTATTGTCCTGATCTATAAGTGTGCCAGTCTCGATAACTAGAGTGTCTGGTTTCTCTGCTGGCTTTAATGCTATCCCATTAGTCAACAGGGAAAACATCCATCAATCAAGGCATTGCAGCCTGAATAGGGAGGGCCTGTTTCAAGATTCTGCCTGGGTTTCTCTAGGATAATATGTCTGACCATCCTTTCACATGCCATTTGAGCATCTCCCAAGTTTAAAAAAAATGAAATAAACATATGGTAGGACATCTGGGTAGAAGTGGGAAGCAGACCCTGACCTGATTGTGCAAATACATAGATTGTATAAATAACAGAAACTAGCCATCAATGGGCATCAATGGGCAAGCAGGTTTCTTAGTTCAGCGGGGGTTGGGAGTAAAACAGGGTTCCTCAAGTCCACCCATCTTAAAGTTGCTGAGGTTGAGGAACCCTGGAGTAAAACAAGCTGACAAGCAACAAAATCCAACTCAACATCCTTCATTATTTTCTGAACACTTCAAGGAGGAAAAGCCAGGTTGTTGCATCTAAAGCAACTGATGTCAGTTGGGAATATTGTTAATGCAGAAACATGCCATATGCCTCTTTTTCCCCAGGTAAAATAAGGGAGGTCTGCTATCCTGTTGTCAAAAGCCTGGACTGAAGTTGGTGTCAAAATCAGGGAAGGGAGACCATGGCTAGAAAAGGAACTCTGGAAACACAACTCTTATAGAGAGGGCAAGCCTGGGGGAGAAATGGCTATGGCTGAGGCTGGTAGACACTCCCAAAAACCTGTTCTGATCACACCCACAACAGGTCACCTGCCTTCACCTCCAAGATAACAGGTGACAAAGTGTTGCAGTTTTTGCTTATCTTAAAGCTGTGGTGGAATAGTGTCAGCTTAAGGAGAAACAACCTTATTTCTAAATGGGTATGCTTAGGGACAGCCTAAGGCTGTTTCACTCATGGGTTCAGGGTGAGATGCAAATAACAACATGTAAACAAGGGGAAAGATTAGGATTGTAAGAGGATGAAGGTGTAGCATTAGTCCTTCATGAGGAACCCCTGATTCCTCAAGGTGTTCTGCAAGGAAGGATCCTAAACCAGATTCTATATTGCTATAATAGTATTAAAACATTATTATATTCTATATATAGAAATTGGAGGGCTTCTTATTCACATTTAACATTGATCCTATCATGTTAACTATCAGACATAGTTCATGATTCACAAAAGCTGGGTTCAATCACCATGGTAAAGCAAAACAACACTAGCAACGCAATGTCTTTGTACATTGTGCAGACCCAGCCAAGAGAGAGCTGTGGGAAACTGGTGGATGGTGCAAAGAGGCCTGAAGATGTGTATATGAAGTATTTTCCCAGACACATTTTGGTTACTCTTTTTCTAATGGAGCATTTACTGACTTTAAAACCTGCCTCTGAATACAGAAGTTTATGTGGAAAAAGGGGAATGGAAAGCAGCTCTGTCCCACACCAGCCTGGATTCACATTAAAATCTGCCCTGGAGGCCCTTTCTGTTTACCTGAAAGCAATTAGAGTGGTGAGCAAAAGGGAAGGAGCTATTTTGCAATGGCCCCACCCTTTTGAATACATGATCAGTAGAGATCCATCAAACTGTATCACTTCATACCTTTAAGAAAACCCTAAAGGCTCACTGTTTAAATGATCTGGTCTGAAGTTGTATTTTTATGGGACTGCAATGATCATATGTAACAACCCAAGGAACATTGGATACATGCTCCAGTAAAACTCAGTTGGAGTTGGATCAGTTTTACTCCAATGATTAAGATGTTTAGGGAAGGTGTTTTTTTTCCCCACTTACTCATAAAAATGTCATTATAGTTTTTTCAAGTAGTTACAAGCTTCCATATGCTGCCAACTACAATAAATTTCAAAGATACAGTCTGTCAGATTTGTTTGTTAAATACTGCTGGGGCAGGAAGGAATATGTTACTTATATAAACAAGGAAAAATCAAGCCAGGAATGACTTCCTGCCTGTCAAAATGATTGATGGCTTGACCCTCTCCAAATATACCCCCATTCCTACCATTCCTCTGAGGCTGAATGTGTAGAGAGGGATTGTATGACTCCTCTGTGTACTAGTCATGCACTTCCAGATGGGGACTAGAGACCCAGCTTAGCTTCCCTAAAGGGGTCTTTCCAATATGCCTTAAATTGACCCACTAGGGTTGTGTGACCTGTCTACAAAGTGACTGCAGTGGAGCTCTAAGCAGGGTTTTAAAAACATGATGGGGATAGAGCGCTAAAGAGCTTTTCTACAGGGTGTTTGTAGCCTGTTTCCCCCAACTAGACTGAGATCTATCTGTCTGTCTGTCTGTCTGTCTGTCATCTATCTCCTTAATATGCAAACAGGCAGAGTTAGCAATATGAACCTCTGCAGTAAATTTTAAAACTTTTTTTTCCTCCAAAACCCAGACATTTTAAACAGTCTTGACTTGGAAGGATGGTGACACATTTTAAATCTATTAGTTTTCGGACTGGAATATTGATTGCTTCCTCAGGGTTAATACTGTTCTTTTTCAAATAACAACTCATTCTTTTGTACAGATTCCTTTATATATTTCATTACAAAGTCTACTTTACTGTATAATTCATCGCATTAAAAACATAGCTGTTCACCATTTCTCATATTTTCAGATTTTCTTAATGTTAACATTAAAACCTGCCAGTATTTGCATTTCTGTTATTGCTAATTATATTGATAGATAATATGGTATAGTACAATTAACAGTTGCCAAAGGTCATGACTGATACTGATTGCTCTCTAATAAGTAACAGACAGGTGTATTTTCATTTATGCTGACTAGTTCAGATTTCCTAAAAGCTAACACGGCTGCTAGGACACCATGCAATCAGATTATTGGGTGTGCAAAATCTCAGAGCCATATGTTATCCATTGCAACTCATATTCCTGTAAGCAAATATAGGAATAAAATGGAATAAAAGAGCAAGTACTGCATTGTATAAACCCATTTAAAAAAAATTCCAACCTAAATATGCTCTTTTAGGAAGTAATACCATTTATATTGTGTTACATTGTTTCCATT